GTTCAAGACCAGCCTGGGCAACTTGGTGAGACCTCGTCTCTACAATAAATCAAAAAATTAGCCAAGCGTGGTGACGTGTGCCTATAGTTCAGCTACTTGGGAGACTGAGGCGGAAGGATTGCCTAAACTCAGCAGGTCGATGCTGTGGTGGCCATGAGTATGCCACTGCACTCCAGCCTGGGCAACAGAGTGAGACTCTGACTAAAAAAAAAAATAAAGTATTTTAGTGAACACGTGCCAGACACAGCTTGATGACTTAATATCCTTTGGACATTCTGCATCCAAGATTTTTTTTTCAAGGTAAGGAGGGTAGTAATAACTTAATTCTAAGAATGATGTCATGGTGTTCAGTTGGCGGTGTCTCCCCATTTTTGGGCTGTTTGCTGCGTTGCTGTCAGGCTGCCGTCACCCCTGTCATAGGTGTGGTGCCTGAGCCTTAGTGTGCCAGTCCTGCAGTTGGCAAGTAGGTGAGGAGCCCAGGCCTCTTCACCATGACCACCCCCATTCTGCTGTGGTCGCAGTGGGCAACATGTTAAAAAGAGACAGTGATACCGAGTGTGGCCTGCCACCCTCGAAGGGGTCACTGACTCACTGTCAATAGGTCATTTGCTTTGTTGGACAAACACACCTTCTTGCCAGTCATCCTCTGATCAGTGGCATAGATTTGAATGACAGTTGGCCAAAGTACTGAGTGCAGCTGACTTAGGAACAAAGCAAAAGTGGTTGACCTGTATCGTGTTTGAACTTACTGACTTTCTGATGAAAAGATTGATCTAATGGAGTTATGTCACTGACTATAAATATATTTCAGATATTTCTTTATCTTATTCTGTAGCAGCTAAGTTCCCTGATATTTTTGAATGCCATACTTATAAAGCATGGTGGCCGTACTTTGAGCGTGGTGGCCAGGCACAGTGGTTCAAGCCTGTAATCCCAGCACTTTGGGGGGCCATAGTGAGAGAATTACTTGAGCTCGCGGGTTCGAGACCAGCCTGGACAACTTTGCGAAACCTCATCTCTACAATAAATCGAAAAATTAGCCGGGCATGGTAGTGCGCGCCTATAGTCCCAGCTACTTGGAAGGCTGAGGCAGAAGGATCGTCTGAGCCCAGCAGGTCGACCCTAGGGTGACCATGAGTGCACCACTGCACTCCAGCCTGGGTGACGGAGTGAGACTCCAACTAAAATAAATAAATAAAGCATGTGGTTGCTATTATAGATAAGAGTAATTTATTTTGTAGGAATCAACATAGGTTAGAAAGTTCTATTCCTGTCCTTTTTTTTGAGTTGGAGTCTCACTCTTGTCGCCCAGGCTAGACTGCAGTGGCACACTCACGGCCACCAATGTCTTGACCTGCTGGGCTCAGGCAATCCTTCTGCCTCAGCCTTCCAAGTAACTGGAACTATAGACGCACGCCACCATGCCCAGCTAGTTTTTGTGATTTATTTGTAGAGACGAGGTCTCACCAAGTTGCCCAGGTTGTTCTTGAATCTCTGGGCTTAGTCCCGCGCTTTTTAATCACTCCTTTTTATATACCATTTTCTTTAGATACGAGTATATTCTAGTGCTTAGAGCAAATTATACAGCCCAGCATTCAGCTAGGCTCATCGTTTTTTCTTGATTACAAAAACACAGTTTTCAAGTTCTAATTGTTTAACCAACAGTTTTCCTTTTTTTTGAGTTGGGGTCTCACTCTGTCACCCAGGTTGGAGTGCAGTGGCACGCTCACGGCCACCCCAGGGTCAACCTGTTGGGTTCCTGTGATCCATCCGCCTCATCCTTCCAAGTAGCTGGAACTATAGGCATGCACTACCACGCCTGCCTAATTTTTTTGATTTATTGATGAGGTCTCACCACATTGCCCAGGCTGGTCTTGAACCTTGTGGGCTCAGGAAAGCCTCTTACCTTGGCCTTTTTTTTTTTTTTTTTTTTTTTTTGAGTCAGTGTCTCACTCTCACTCAGGCTGGAGAGCAGTGGCATTTTCATAGCCACCGCAGCCACGACCTGCCGGGCTCAGGCAGTCCTTTCGCCTTAGCCTTCCAAGTATCCAGAACTATAGATGCGTGCTACCACGCCCGGCTAGTTTTTTGATTTATTGTAGAGACAAAGTCTCGCCAAGTTGCCCAGGCTGTTCTCGAACCTGTGGGCTCAGGCAATCCCCTCACCTCAGCCTCCCAATGTGCTGGGATTACAGGTTTGAGCCACTGTGCCCAGCCATTAGTTTTCCATTTTTAAGTATGAATCTAAATAGTCTAAATTAACTAGACTGGACATGGTGGCTCATGCCTATAATCCCACCTCTTTAGGAGGCCAAGACAAGAGGTTTACCTGAGCCTAGCAGTTCTTGACTTGCCTGGGCAATATAGTGAGACCCACCCCCATCTCTGCAAAAAAATTAACCAGGCATGGTTGTGTACACCTGTAGTACCAGCTAACTCAGAAGGCTAAGGTGGAAGTACTTCCTGAGCTCAGGAAGTTGAGGCTGTGGTGAACCGGAATTGTGCCACCACAACCAGCCTGGGCCATGGCTATGTAAATAAAAAAGTTAATTAACTGACAAAGCTATCTACCATAGCTATCTTTTCATAAGACTCTGAAAGAAGAGGCTTTAGCAGAGTGGGAAGAATAAGTGTTGGAGACAAAGGGTTTGGATCTGGGTTTTGGTTTAGAGGCTTTGTCACTTGGAGACTTGGCAAAAGTGTGTAATCTCATTGAGACCCAGGTTTCCAGCTGTGAAGTAAGGCCGCATCAATTCCTTCCTGCCTTCCAACTCTGACTGTAGTCCCTAAATTGCTTTCATAATTGATGAGCTTTGGCCCACAGTTCAAAAACCACTGTAGTGTATTATCATCGTGATTTCAGGGCATTTTAACCTCAGTAGCCAAAAAGGTGCTATTCTTCTCTCCTCTCCTCCCCTCCTTTCCTGGCCCCCCAGTTTCTAAATCTGTACATTTCTGTCTTTCTGACATTCTTATTGTAAACTGGGGCTAACTGGTAGTTCCTACCTCCTCGAATTGTTGAAGGATTGAATGCTTGTCATAAAATGACCCTTCAGTCAGTGGCCGTGATGCTATAATGGAAACAGCTCCCAGAGCTGCTGTCAGGACCCCTTGGTCAGGTTGGGGGTACTCCGGCTCCTGATTTTAAAATTCTGCACAGAGATATTCCTTCTCTCCTTTCCTTTTGGGCTGTGTTAGGTGCTGGGTTTGCTTCCAGATTTCCAACACTCGTGTCTAGTGGCGCAGGAAAGGTGTAATGAACCTGTGTGCCCAGGGCCTGTCCCTGCTCCTACTGTGACTTTTCCCAGTCAGAGCTGCTGGTCCATTTTTCTAGACCCCCTGCTTCATGCCAAGGGCTGCACTCTAGCCATGTACAGAGACATGTGACCAGCTCTACTCCAAGGAGCTCCCGGACTAGTGAGAGACACTTTGAAATGTTTAGAAACCTGAGAGGACATTTGCCTTGAAATCTCAGCTGAATAACCCTTTTGCTTAGCAAATATCATTTATAAACTTGTTGAGTCCTGATGCCAGAATGCAAAGATGAGGAAGCCCCCACATCCAGACCTTGAGGAACTCATCAGTGATGTAGGGAGATTTTTTCCAGAGTGAGGTCTGTGTCACTGTTATGGGTGTGGGTGAGGATGTAAATGGTCCATGGCACTTTTTTTTTAGTTGGAATTTCATTCTGTCTTCCAGGCTGGAGTGCAGTGGCACAATTATAGCTCACCGCAGCCTTGACTTCCTGGGCTCAGGCAATCCTTTTGCCTCAGCCTCCCAAGTAGCTGGTACTACAGGTGTGCACCACCATGCCTGGCTAATTTTTACTTTTGCTTTTGTAGAAACAAGGTCTCGCTGTGTTGCCCAGGCTGGTCTCGAACTTACAGGCTCAGGCAGTCCTCCTGCCTCGGCCTCCTAAAGGACTGGGATTTACAGACACGAACCACTGTGCCTAGTGGCATTGTTAATTATAACTAGCTCATCAAACATGGAATTTCATGGGTAGTATTGTTTAAGAGAAGCTGAAAGTAGGTATTTTAGGAGACATAAATGAATTGTCTTGAAGAAAAATACTGAAATCATAATTCAGGTAATATCTTGATATGAAATTAAGGTGTAGTACTCAAAGGATTGCCCTGATCCAGAGCACAGAGGATGAATTGATTAGTTGTGAATGAAAGAAACACAAGGACTTCATCGTTGAAAGTAATCAATCAGATTTTTAGAAAGGACTGTGTGGTAGTAAACATTAAATTTCAAAATAGTAGCATTACGTGAATAACTATTTTGTTTGAACGTGCAAATGTGAGTTTTCTAGAGTATTTCTTGCAGCTTGTAGTGAAATTACAAATAACAGGAATGTTCAACAGTAGGAAATTGATTAAAATATTATCCATTTCAATACAGAAAGATAGGCTGAAACCGTTACAAATGAAGATGTGGACATATATATTGACATAGAAGGGTGTGCTCAGAATCTAGATTGTGGGGGGGTCAAGTTAAAAAGCCAGTAACATTAATTCCCATAGGATGTGCGATTGGTCACAATAGTTGTCTCTTTAGTTCTGAGATTTTTTTTATTTTTAGTCAGAGTCTCACTCTGTCACCCAGGCTGGAGTGCAGTGGCATGCCCACAGCCACTACAGCCTTGACCAGCTGGGCTCAGACAATCTTTCCACCTCAGCCTTCCAGTAGCTGGAACTACAGGTGTGCATCACTACACCCAGCTAATTTTTTGATTTATTATAGAGACAAGGTCTCACCAAGTTGCCCAAGCTGGTCTCGAACCCCTGGGCTCAGGCAATCCTCTCGCCTTGGCCTCCCAAAGGGCTGGGATTATGGGCGTGAGCCGCAGTGCCTGGCCAGCTTTGGGATTTCAACAGACTTTTTAAAACCTTGTTTGGGCTCTAAGTTTAGAGAGAGAAAAGATAAACTCCACGTTCTCTTTGTGTAGAGAGTAGTGTAGCTGTCTTACCCTACTGTGCTTTCCTTCCTCACAGGTGTGGGGGCACAGTTGGTGCTATTTTCACTTGTCCACTAGAAGTCATTAAGACGAGGTTGCAGTCTTCGAGATTAGCCCTCCGGACCGTCTATTATCCTCAGGTTCATCTGGGGACCATCAGTGGAGCTGGAATGGTGAGACCAACATCCGTGACGCCTGGACTCTTTCAGGTTCTGAAGTAAGTTCCTTCCGTCCTCACTACCCCGCTGTCTGCACATCCTCCACCCCCACTATCATGCAAAACGTTCGTGAAGCCCATCAGATGGGCTGTTTTCATAGTCTTAGTTCAAACTTGGGAATTGGCTTTCTTTACCCATACCTTTGAACTCTGACCTTGCATCCTTGGCAGCAAGATCCCCGATGTTCATGTGATCCTCATCCAAGGACAGAGTAAACCCAACAAAACAAACCAAAATTCCATGTGTAAATTCTTGCATCAAATTGTTACTCTTACTCAAATCTCTTGAGGACTAACGAGATAAGGGGAGGTAGAGTAAAATTTTTAAAATTGCACAAGAGAATGATTGTGAATATTTTTTTTTTTGAGTTGGAGCCTCACTCTGTCACCCAGACTGGAGTCCCGTGGCCGCTCCCGGCCACCGCAGCCTCGACCTGCTGGGCTCCGGCGATCCTTCCGCCTCAGCCTTCCGAGTAGCCGGAATTACAGGCATGCGCTACCACGCCCGGCTGATTTTTTGATTTATTGTAGAAATGAGGTCTCGCCAATGCCCAGGCGGGTCTCAAACCCGCGGGCTCAGGCAATCCACTCACCTCAGTCTCCCAAAGTGCGGGATTACAGGCTGAGCCACCGAGCCCGGCTGATTGTGAATTTTTTTTTTTTGAGTTGGAGTCTCACTCTGTCACCCAGACTGGAGTGCAGTGGCCGCTCCCGGCCACCGCAGCCTCGACCTGCTGGGCTCCGGTGATCCTTCCACCTCAGCCTTCCAAGTAGCTGGAATTACAGGCGCGCGCTGCCATGCCCGGGTAATTTTTTGATTTATTGTAGAGATGAGGTCTCGCCAAGTCGCCCAGGCAGGTCTCGAACCCGCGGGCTCAGGCAGTCCTCTCACCTCAGCCTTCCAAAGTACTGGGATTACAGGCTGAGCCACCGAGCCTGGCGATTGTGAATATTTTAAGAGAAAGCAGAATGTTTTTGTTTTTTACTCTTTGTGTGTGTGTGTGTGTCAGAGTCTCACTCTGTTGCCCAGGCTCATGGCCGCTTTCCAAGTAGCTAGAACTGCAGGCACGCACCACCATGGCCAACTAATTTCTTGATTTTTATTGGAGAGATGAGGTCTAGCCAAATTGCCCAGGCTGGTCTCAAACCTTTGGGCTCAGGCACTCCTCTCACCTTGGCCTCCCAAAGTGCTGGGATTATTGGCATGAGCCACTGCACCTGACCAATTTTTCAATTTTTGTAGAGACGAAGTCTCACTTTGTTGCCCAGGCTGGTCTCGAACTCCTGGACTCAAACAATCATCCCATCTTGGCCTCCCAAAGTGCTAGGATCACAGTCGTGAGCCATTGTACTCTACCAAAAATTTTTGTTTTACACCTAGGCTACCTGCCCATTTTATCATTTTTACTGCAGGAAAAATATCTCGGTTGCTTACAAAGAAGCAAGTATTCATAAGTTGAATTTGGCTTACCAGCCTCAGTGCTTATGGTAAAATCAGAATTCAGAAGAGCACTTGATATACTTGAATTTCAGCTTAAGGGGTTGTACTTAAAGATGCTCAATAAGTAATAGCTGAATGTAACAGAGCATGCTATTTTCAGACCTCTGTGACGCTGATATTTATCAGTGTAGAGATTCAGTTGGGAAATGTTAGAAAAAGAAGCAGAAAATGGAACTGCTCTGCTCAAAAACCACAGCACTCAGCACTTTTTGTCAACAATTTAGATAAGGCAGGATGAGTTGGAAAGCACTTCATTTATTTTTAGGTATGTTTTGTTTGTAAAACCTTCCTCTGAGTCACTTAGGCATCCATGCCAAATGTGTGAAGGTGCATCTGAGCTTACTAGGCAGACTGAACAGCTGCTGAGGACAAGGTCCTGAGTGAGACGGCGAGAAGCCCAGCTAGGGAAAGAGGAGGTCAAGACCCAAGAGTCTAGGAGAATCTGTTCCTTAAATTAAACCCTGAGGAGGGGAATGGAGACAGACAGGCAGGAAGGTCGGGCATAGGCACAGGAAGGACAGAGCCCAGAGATGTGGAGGGACACTACTGGTCTCAGGGCAGATCCAAGTCCAGTCCTCAGTAGGATGCGGCTGTGTCCTTCCTGCTTGGCAGTACCAGTGTCTCAGGCAACACCTTTGTTCTAGGGGACATGCAGTACTTTGGACATAATGAAACCGAGACAGGTAATTTGTCCACTTCATTCACTTCAGAATGAACTCCCTCTTACTTGCTTGCCAAATAACGCATGACTAGTGAATGTAGATTTCCTGTAACTGGGAAGCTTACTCAAAGTGTGGGTGTCAACAGGACCAAGTCTGTAAGATGAATGGGGATGTTTTTCTATTTAGGTTTTACAGGCTGTATAAGTTAATTACCCCTTATCCAAAATGCTTGGGGCCAAAAGTGGTCTGGGTTTTGGATTTCAGAGTCTTTGCTTTATCCTTGTCAGTTCAGCATTGCTAATCTGGAAATCCAAATAGCTTCTGTCGACACTTCGTCTAGTTTCATGCTGGTGCTCAGAAAGTTTCTGATTTTGGATTTCTGGAATAGGGACATTCAAGTTGTATATTCTGTATCTCCAGTATCTTTTTTTTTTTTTTTTTTTT